GTTGCAGTTGCAGTTGCAATTTGTAATTTGTAATTTGCTTATCCGATCACTCTTGCTAATTCGTGGCACATTCGAGGCGCCAACAACAAATGGCGCCAAAACGTGTGCGAATCGCAGCGAAAACAAGAAATCATTGTGGAAAAGCGTTTGATTTTCAACCAGCGAGCATAGGCCCGGAATGATTCATGAATGGCATTATGGGCACTTGGGCATGGGAAAGGCACCTAACCGTAATTGTTAGTGTCTCGTCTGCCGGACAAGAGCCGATCACGTGACCAAAATACGGACGAAAAAAACACAAAATTAGATTTAAATTAATTCATTTTGTATTTACATAGATATTAACTATAGATAGTTTGATATACAGATTCTTAGGAGAAGAAAACATCTGGGAATGAAAATAAATATATCTTGTGTTAGACCATAGATCATAAATATTAGAAGAAACTCCTCAATTTTAGAGTTCAATTTTCTTTGAAGTCCTTTCATTAGAAGAAATGAACTTACTATATAGGAACATCGTTCGATTTTTAATGATTCCAAACTATTCCGCCTAGGCTGCGAATTTAAAAATGTTCAATATATTAACAATAAAGAAGGGATAGTTGAAAGATGAACAGTCAGAATGCTTACAAAAGTTGTGATTTAAAATATTTTACTGTATTCTAAGATAAGTATATCTCGCTCAAAACCCAAAGAATATTCTTAAAGTGTATCCCTGAAATTAAAGAAATTCCCTGCACTTCATTTTGTTTCGTTTGAACGAATTTAAACACGAATCGTTTGGAAGGGCAGCTCTGGGGATAGTCTGGAAGAACAGGGTCGGCCCGGTCTGGCCTGGACTGTGACTGTGACTGGACTGTAGGGCATGGTCGGGGGCGAGGGTCAGGCTGATGACTTGATTGAATTCGCATAGGCGCTAGATGGAGCCCTCATAAGCAATGCAGTTGGCGTAGGCAAAGTTAGATGAAGCGTGGTTTGGGGCAACACGACAACACAAAGCTCCCAGCAACAACTATTGCAACAAACACAAGAACAAAAACAACAAAGACAATGACAAGCCTCTTGTTATGCACGAGCTGCGTTCTTGTCTGGGGCACATTAAAGACACATGAATGGCCTGGCAATAAATATTATTAAAAATGTTTGCCTTTATGGCATGCTAAACGAGACACCAGCAACCAGCAACCAGCAACAGCAACAACAATTGCGACACTAAGCCACCATAAGCCTATTATTTAATTTGCAAAGGGAATCGCTGCGCGAAAGGGCAGACAGGAGAGAGTGGAGTGGAGACAGTGCAAATGAACTTTTAAAGCGCCCGAAAAGTAGACAACAAAAAAAGTTGCAGACGCCAGGACGAGGACAGGACCAAGCCCAAGACCAAGACCGAGACGGAAAATACTGTAGACGCGACAGCATCATCAGTCATCACCCTCGGTGGAAGACGACGACGGCGAATCCGTATCGCGAGGGTTGCAAAAAGGAACCGAACCAAACAACAAGGGGCACAGATATGCACAGAACGATGGCCAAAGATACTTTATACTTTTTGGCAAACAACAACCGAAACAGACGCAATTCGTTACGGCCAGATATATGTAGCTATAGATACATGTAGCTACAAAATACTGATACTAGAGAGGAGTTGGAGTTGGAGTTGGAGCTGGAGTTGGAGTTGGAGTTGGGGACTGGAGAGATATATGTACACACGCGCGGCCCGGCCCCTTCCCTGGACATACAGCATAAAACTTTGATGACTGCGACTGCGAGTGCGAGTGGAGTCCAGCAATTGGCCATGTCGATGGCGGAGAATATGCCAAAGTTAAACATTTTCTGGGAATCAATTTACCAAGCTACACTTTCATGTTAAATCAATTGAACTCAGGCGTGCGTGGACTGTCATTCCTTTGGAATTGTTGCCACTGACACACACAGCGGGCTACAGGAGATACAGGGAAAAGGCAGTGGAAGAGGCGGAGAGGGCAGACGAGGCAGAGAGGGACAGAAGACATGTGTGTCGCTGCTGACTGATACCGTTAGTGCGGCATGGCCCAATGCCCACAGTTTATCCCGCTAACAAGGCTAATTGGTCATGAAGCCTCTTCTCGACTTGACTCGCAGCCACTCGTCTTGGCTTTGGCCTGTTCCTGTTCCTATACTGGTCGCAGACCCAGACCCAGACCCAGACCCAGAACCAATCTTGATCCCATTCCCGTTCCTGTTTGCTGTTTTCTGTTGGCCGTTGGCTGTCCTTGTCCACCCACCTGTCCACGCGGCGTGACACCTGTCACATCACACAATGGAAATCACTCGACATTGTCGCTTGGCATTTGCCTCCAACGATTCACTTGCTCTCGACCAGGCCGAAACCGAACAGCAGCAAAAACGGAACTGTCGCTGGCTATTTATTTACTCAAGCGTTTGCCCTGGTTGTCCTGGTTCTGGTTCTGGTTCTGGTTTTGCTCTTGGTCCTGCTCTGGCACTGTGATGGATGGCACTTAGCGAGGGTTGTCTCTGTGGTTGGGCTAGTGGCATTGACCACCGAAACTTGAGTTGCAACAGGGTGTGCTTGTCTGAAAGGGGGCAATTCACTGGATTATACTCTATGGATTATACTCGGAATTCACTTGAGCAGAGATGCGCTGCGGCTGCCTAAGATCTCTAGACAGTGTTACCTCTTCGCCTCAGCCATAGCTCGAAGGTTCTTTTTGGTATTTCAAAAATAATTCTCGGGAAATGGAATTAAATCTCTTGCTTTTTCATGATGCTATTACGTTAATTCTTAATGGAATCGAATGACACTCGAATTCAGTTAATTCTTAATATGAATCATGAATCACAGCCAGGCAAGAAAAAAAATCCCGATTGCGGTGAGGAAATTTCTTTACCACTCAGAACTTGCTCGGTAAATTTCAATGAGAAAGCGTCAAAAAGATTCGCAATGAAAAAAGTTTCGAATTTGCCCTTGAGGACCTTTTGTCACCTTCCTCTCAGTCCTCTGTCTGCTGCACCCTGTACCGGCAACCCGGCAACTCAATTGTCCCAAACCACCCACAGAATGTGCCCCATCCTCAGGCTCTCCCACTGTCGCGCGCTCTCTTTCTCCAGTGCTTTGCATGTCCGGCATTCACACCAATTGTTACCATAAAATTTGCACGTATAAAGCGAAAATGCCAAAAATATTTCACGACAACGAGACAGAGGCGGCAGCGGCGGCAGCGGCGGCAGGAGCAGAATCAAAAGCAGAAGCAGAAGCAGAGCAACAGCAACAAACGGCAACACGTAGCCACCAATTGCTGGGATTGCTATTCGGATTGGGAATGGGTATTGGGATTGGTATAGGGATTGGCATCGGAAACGTATGGGGAAGCTGGGAGCGGGTGGGTTTTTGTTCTTTGCTTCTTTCTTTATTGTTGCTGCTGGCTGGCTGGCAATGCGACAAATTTCACGCTCAAATGTTCGACACGCGCCGGCGCAGTGCAGCCTCCACCGATGCTGCTTGAAACCGAAAGGACCAGCAGACAGCCAGAGCTAAAGCCAGAGCCAGAGCCAGAGCCGGCAGCCAGAAGCTGGCCAAAGGATGCCGTCAAAGCGGAAATGTTCAGTTCATTAGCGAAACGTGCGCGTCGTGTAATGGACGTGCCCCACCAGAGAGCTCCGGCATCTTCCCATTGAATCCGTGTTGAGGTTTACCAGTGAGTGAGTGAGTGAGGAGAGCGCGCGCGCGACTTCTATGGCCAGAAAGGAGTTATAGTCACAGTCAGTGTCGGAGTGGGAATCAGAGACAAAGCCAAGTGCGAAATTGCCAACTTCTGGCGTAATTAAATAATTAATTGGAATCAAACAAGAGAATTTCGCAAAAAGAAAAACAATTAACAACAAAAGGCCAAAGCAGCGAGAAGGAGAAGGCGACGGAGGGATTTGTTTAATTATAGGAAAGGTCAATAATCAGCCGGGAGTCGCGTCACGCACAATAGTACGCATAGTACACCCATAGTCCGAGTTAGATTCCAAGTCCGTATCCGAATCCGACTCCGAATCCGAATCCGAGGGTAATGGACATGGACCTGGCCCAAACCGGTTAACCATCTTCTGCCTTATTTGTCGTTGTTTGTCGAGTGCGTGCGAGTCTCGGGGAGTTGGCAACAATGAGCGTTGTTTAATTAGAAGCGGCGCTGGACCCCAACACCTGTACACGAAATTATTGTAAAGGTAGCAGCAACAGCAGCAACAGCAGCACCAACATCTTCAGCTTCGGATGGCTATGTATTGGCCAGAGACCACAAAACGCCGCTTGATGGCCAACTGACTGACTGACTTGTGGCCAAAAGAAGATGCTCTTGCCACAGCATCATCATCATCATCATCATCATTATCATCATCTTCCATGTATCCGCAAACATCATTATGAGCCGCGCGAATTCTTCTTTGTGGCCATGGACAAGACCACGACCGCGACCACGACCAAGACCAAGCCGAAGAGTCCGAAGACGAAGACCAAGAACTTGCCGACGCCGCCGTCGTCTTCGTCTGAGAGATGAGAGTCGAGTTGTTGGCCAAAGTTACATGGTGGCGTCGCAGTCGCAGTCGCTGTCCCCAAAGCCGGCTTGGCGCTCTGCTCTCTCCCCAGCGTCAGCGTCGCGAGATCCAAATGATGAGCATTTGACTGTGTGCATGTGTGAGTGTTGGGAGAGTGAGTGTGCTGCTAGCGCGCTCTCTTTCACAGTGTGTGAGTGTGCGAGTGTGTTTGTGTGAGAGGTTCTTTGCTCTCTCTGTCGCGTCGCTCTCTGCGTTCGCTGCTGCCGTTGCTGCCGCTGCTGCTGCTGCTGCTGCTGCTGCTGCTGCTGCTGCTGCGCTGCTGGTGTTGCTGCTGTTCGTTTCGTTCGTTTGATTTTCTTCAAATCGCCGCACGACGTAGGCTATATAAATAAGCACCGCGGACCCAATAGCTCCGAGTCTCTTTGAATTTTATGAAGCGGTTGTATCTTGGTGGTGCCCCAACCAGCCAACCGAACCGAACGGCCAACAGAACCCCCAGTTGGTACCACACCAGCAGCCACACCAGCCGCAAAATCAGCAGCAGCAGCAGCAGCATCTTCTTGTAAAATATCTTTTGCCTTTTTACCCCAAAAGCAAGCCAACGAACAGTGGATTATTCCCAATAATTGTTAACAATCGAAACGAAAAGTGAACAAAACACACGCAGAAAACACCGATAAAGTGCGCGAAATGTTGAGCAACGTGTAAAAGCCAACTAAAGGATCTGATAACTGTGCAAGGACTGCAAAACGAAACCAAAAGATACAAACGCAAAGATACAAACCGCAGTACCAGTGGCTAGTGCACACGTAGAATCTCCGCAGAGTTCTATACGAAAGATTTGTTCATTCGTGCTGTTACTTGAGTGAAAAAAGGTGAGTTTTTAATCTCAAAGGGTCCTTGGAATGGGACACACTACAATTTCTTTGCAAATCAAGTTTCGGAGAAACTATCCTTTAGTGTGATTTTTGTGTTAGATACAAATATAATTTTTTAAAGTATTTTTTAAAGTTTCGTTTTCAAATGAAAAAACTTTTTTTTATTAATAAAATAATAGATACATATGTACATATATGAATTGAAAGACAAATTTAAAAATGTTTTCAGGTATTTTATCAAAAATGTTACTCAAAAAGTTTGGAAAATTCTTAATTAATTAATTACGTTTTAAAACAAAAAGTTGGAATAAAAAGTTAAAAATATTAGTTTGATAAATATTTTTAAAGAGAAAATTAAACAGATTTTAACTAAATTACATGAAAGCTCCGGGAAATAGCAAAAATAAATAAAAAAACTAATACTTGTAAAAATCTATTCAATTTTGTTAAGAAATTATTTCCGACCAAGCCACAGATTATTTTTCTTTAAGTTTCAAGGTTTTTTCAATGCACATGTAAATTTCAAATATATTCCATTTCTTGGATGGGAAATTTCCCCATAAGAACATTTGCAAAGATTACTAATAATATTCTTACTTTGGGATGACTAATGCCCAATACTATTATAATTAATTTGCGGACCATTTAAACTGGGGATATGCACATGTGAGCCCTGTTGCGCAATTGTTTAAACTTGATTCACTAATTATTCATTTGCGTAACTCGTTTCCAGTCAGGGGCTGGTTGTCCGAACATCAGATGCCCCCCAGTGGGCTGGTTGACTCTTTCTAGGGCAAAAACCAGACCTCCATTTCAGCCAATTTCAAAGGGCAGAAGGGATGAGAAACTGCAGTGACTTTGCCTGCATAAGCCGCTTTAATCTTTACGGCCGCCAATTAATGAAAATTAATTTGCTTACAACCAAATTGAAGCAGGAGCCAGCCAGGCGTTAAAACGGCCTCAAAGTTATTCATTCATAAACGAGAAATTGCACTAGTCGCTTCGGAAGCCGAAGTCTAAATACCCTCTGCAGATCGATCAGTATATTCAAATATTTGTTGAAAGATTGTATCTATGGCAGGACAGGAAATATAGGAGATGGCTATATCAACTCAAGAACTAGTACACTTTATGGCGTCACAAATGCATCCATTTCGGTGCTGCAAACATATAGCGCTTACCCTCTTTGAGGGTATAAAAAAGAAGGTTTGGTGGGGCTCCACGACGCTGCTGTAAGTGGCAACCATTCATTCGCTGGCTCATTCATTCATTCACAAATGGCTAGCTCCCCGGCTGGCTGCACAACTAACGGGCCAAGCTCGGGCGTAAATGCCACGCGCCTCGGCACCGTCTACGGCTCCGTCTACGGCTGCAGCCTTTGGCTATTTGCATTGTGAAAATAGTTTTTGCCTGTGTTTTAATTTATGAAAGGCCATTCCGCGCTCTTGGGCTTGGTCCTGGGCCCGAAACTTCGAGAGCAGCCATAATTAGAATTTATGCCCACACCATCTGTTGGGGGATCTTTAAAGAGGAGCCCGCTCGCTCCGCGGCGACATTTGTCAAACTCGTAAAAACTAAAATTGCCCGAATGAAAAAGCTTTTAGTTAGCCATAAATAATACAAACTACGGCCGGCCCGCCACCACCGCCACCACCTCCACCCTCCCCACCCACAGAAAGTGCCTCAAAACGATATATTTATAGTAGTTACACTTACAAACGATGGTCCTGTTCCTGGTCGTAGAGTCCTGTTCCTGGTGCTGGCTCTGGCTCTGGCTCTGACTCTGGCTCTGGCTCTGACTCTGGTCTTGGACCTGGGGCCCAATAAAAAATGCAAATAAAACGCTGCCGCAATATGTGACCGTCTGTCCCTGTGGCAGCCTCCTCCTGCTTCCCCTCTGGTGGCTGATGGCAAACATTTCCAACCTGACTTTGAGTGTTATTTGGTTTGCCAGAGATTTCATTGGCAGCTGGCCAGAGACAGGACCGAGGGAGGGACTCACCAGCGGGGACCCTGACATTGAAGGGACAGGGCCATGGCCAGTGACTGGAATGGACTGGACTGGACTGGACTGGCAGCAGCAGGTGTTCGGTTTTGGTTGACTTTTTTGGTTCGGGGCACCAAAAACTGTCCCTTGGCCATGAACGGAAATAGTGTGATTTATAGACAATTTCTGTGGTACAGCTCCGAACAAATTTTGACAGAGTTTGTCTGCAGCGGCGCCAGCAGGAAAACGGCTACGGATTTATTGATGAGCCAACAGGAAACATGGCAAATACGAGTACGAGTATCCGATACAGCATCTAGTTGTAGTTGCGGTCACCCCACATACCCCGAAAACATACATATATACACGCATACATCTATCACAACCCCCATGCCACACCAGGCCGAGGCCCTTTCCCATGCCGAATCCCTTAAGCATTTTTGGTTTTGTGGTTTCAGCATTTTTCTAGATTTTTTTGCAGCATATCTGCTGCAGCATTTTAATTAAAAATGCCTGAAATGTCTCCGACTTGGGGCAGGCTTTGGCTCTGGCTTTGGCTTTGGCCGGAAAAGCAATGTCAATAATGACATAAATGCCTCGTCTTTAGGCACTTTAAGGTGTGCGGTTGCTGCGGTTGGGAATTGAATAGGAATTGAAGCCACCATTTGGCTTAACCATCCGCACTTCCGCCGCCTTAGGCTGGGAAGCTGGGAGACAGAAACTTTGTTAGATCTTCATCGTTTTGGGAGATACTTGAACACTTTACTGCCGCAAAAGTTGCTGGATGGCAAAAGAAGAAAGAAGTTTTATAAGCTTATCGCTGGGACAGCTCTGCGTATGCTTAATGCCACATGCTCAAGCTCTGCAAAAGTTTGATGAACCGCAGTGGCGCGCACATGGAGCAGATCAGGCGACTTTCTACAGTCACTTTCAATATCAAATGAATTCATTTCATTCGAGTTCTGGTTGCTGTTGTTTGCTTGAGCCAACGTCCGCTGCTTTGGGCCTTTCTTTTGTCCGGGCCGGGCCGGTCCGGGCCGGGCCAAGCCAAGCATAATTTGATGCCTTTTCAGTAACGCACTTGTCCCCTGAGGTGGGCTTCCTCGGTGGCTCGGCTCTGCGCGAATTATCATAACAATTAAAAGCCACTGCAAGCAAGGCCAGCAGCAAGTCGCAAAAATTCTTTAACTTTATGTTAATTTATTTTAATTTTCGTCTTTTAGAAAGAAAGATTAAAGCAACTGAAGAGGAGAGGTCCCAAACACATCCCCATACCCATCCCCATGCCATCCGAAATGCGCAGAAAAAAGTCTTTAAAATATTTAATTGGCTGGCATGAAACTTTTGCGCTCGGCTACTACTATTTTAAGTTATGATGCGGGTCCCCGGACACACCTGAGCTCTGACATCAGCACATCAGCGGATCAGATCTGTAGGGAGAAAAAGGCAGGAGCCCCGATGGGAGCCACCTGATGGCACTGGGACTTGAGACTGGGACTGAGAACCTGACAAATTACATAATGATAGGCTGGCCGATGCTAATGTCTCATTGTTGGGCTACCATTTCGCCGTTAGGCAAAAGACCAGAATCAGCCCGACCAGAAAAGAGAAGAAGACTCCACGTCACATCACATCGCATCACATAATCTAATTAGAGCCACGTTATGCAAATGATATGCTCCGCTAATTGAGTGAAAAGCTGCGCGAAAGCCTAATGAGGCGAGGCGGGGTCATGCAGCCAGCATCCAAAGGGTGCAAAGCCACTCCAATGCTACCGGAGGAACTGTGACACTCGGCTATCAGTTAATCCGATTAGGGCATGTGTATATGAACTCATAACACACTTACATATATCTACAACAGCCATGGCTATAATCCTGTTTCCCTGGAAATATGTACAAGTAAGAGCTGCAGCTCTGCAGGGATTCATAAGCAGTTTATTTAGCAATAAAGATTCCCGAGCTAATTGGACACATTTTCATCATATTGTATGTATGTGGTATCTTCTACAAATTCCACACTGTACAGTGATTCAGCATTGGATCCATTAGGGGATCCACAGGGGGGCTATAGCTATCGGCAACAGCTTTAGATAGCAGCAAATGCATGTTCAAGAGATTTGCAAGCCGAAAAACACTGCCATAATAGCAATCTGACGCTGGCAGTTTGTTTCTTTGGCCAATAGCTTACCTTGGCCAAATGTTTTATCGCCAATTTCTGGCACCCGCACAATTCAAAAGACACTTGAGGCAGAGACAAAAGCGGTGGCAAAAGCAAAAGCAAAAGCAAAAGAAAAACCAAACCAAACTAAACATCATCCCCAGTCAGAGACTGTTTGTGATTTTAAAGTTTAATTGAGTAAATCGGTTTATGTGCGGCATTAGCATTGTAGTTGTGCTGCCGCTGTGCCACAAGCAACAACATAAAGAAAGTAAGCGCATCTAAGCCCATTACGACCGGGCGACCAAACGACACTTGTCTCGCATTACGCCCAAACAGCGCCAAGGTTAAATCGTGGTCTAGAACCGGGGGAGCATGGTACATGCCACAAGAACTTGCCGCGACTCGACTTGACTCGGGCTTAAAGTGTGTCGTGGGGCGCAAATTTCTCTAACCCAAATTGTTGTTGCTGCTGCTGCTGCTGTTGGTGTGACTGCCTCCGTCTTGGTCTTCGTCTTCGTCTCGGTTTCGGGGCGCCGATCTGGTTTGCCACAGATGCTTTCGAGTTCAATAGCCAAAGAAAGTGTCAGACGGTAGAAAGAAAAAGTGTGCAAACCGAGTCGACCAGAGCATTGGAGAGCAGTGGAGAGCAGAGCCAATGGCTAATGGGACGGCGACATAGATTTTAATGGCCATTTTGCAGAACGAGGGCCGCGGCTCCGCACCTGCCGTATGCGTAATGCCTGTTATCAGGCCTCGCAAAATGCATTTCCAAAAGCCTGTTAATGGCCATCGCATCGCCCAGAGAGATTCAAAAGTGTTAATGCAACGAGCCATTAGGCCAAAACGA